GTGTCAGATGGTCGCCTTAGCATGTGTTTCGTGCAGAGTAAAAGTTGGTCTTCCCTTGCATTTACTTGTCTTGTCCGTTTCGTTTTCCCATTCAGCCCCAATTAATTCAAATTCAACACTCTTTATTTTCATTCAAATTATATTCTTTCCACTTCCCACCATTAATCCCCATTCATATTTTCCCTCCCATTTTCCAACACCCACTTATTATAATTTATCACTCTTAACTCTCACTCCACTATAAATACCCTTCATCCTTCTTTCTCATTTCACAACATTTCTAACCATCTCTACCATTTCCTCTCCTACACCCATATTTTCTACCTTTTCCCTTCTTCAACCCATATCCATCTATGGCTCCACGAAACAACCAAAGACAAGTTAAGCCCGACCGACCATCACCCGACCTATCCAATATCATTTTCCGCGATAACGACGACGGCCAACAACAACAAAAGTATAAAAAATTCTATACCCGTTCCGTCGTTCCTACAAAATACGTAAGTTCGGAGTGTTTGGAAACCTTAGGAATGACCGATAGCATCATATTCATGCTCAATAACACCGGTTTAACCAGTCTCTGCACAAACTCATGTCCAACCTATGAACCACTCGTGCTTGAATTTCTTAGTTCCTTCTCTTACACAACACCTGTCGATGATCCCTACACAACCGGAACCGCCAACTTCCGCATGTTTAACCAAGAGTACTCTCTTGATCAAGAAAGAGTCGTTGAACTCTTATCTTTCACTCGCGGCGAGCATGTTCATTACAAGCCTTTCGACGATGACCACGATCTTTCTTGGGATCAAGTCGGCTTCTCCTTATGGAATGATCTAACCGGTCAAACCACGGAAAGTTGGCGCGACCTCTATGCTTCTCAAATACATAACCCTGCATTAAGGTACTTTCACCGCGTTCTTGCTAACACCATTGGTCGGACCAATAATCACAAGGTCAACCAAAATGAGTTGTTCATCATTTTCTGTGCCCTTAATGGTCAGGCTGTCAACGTCGCTCCTTTCATGCTCAGTCACATCCACACATGCGTGAACGCAGCAGGTACTAATCCCTTTGTTTTTGGAGGCATCATCACATCTTTAGCATATGCTTTAGGCCTTTCCGCCGAGCTATTTTCTTTGTTACAATATATGATGCCAGCCACTCTTCTTGATGTCATCTATTGCCGAGATTCCCATATAATCTCTCCACGACATGATGGCCGCTTTACATTAGTGATAAATCGTCGTCAAATTCCTGATTTTGTGTTACCTTGTCCGAATCGTATCGACGTCCGAGTCTGCGCCAATTATCATTATGCTCTTGATGCACCTGCCGCCCAACAACCAAATAATCCCGCTGCAAATTTCGCAGCTATGCAGGCTCATATGCTTCGTCAAGATCAGTTGTTCCATGCCATGCAACAAAACCAAGCTGAGACTTTACGTCTCGTACAAGAAGTACAACGTGACCAACTAGAGTTGCAACGCCACCAACAAGAGATGCGACGCGAACAACAAGAATATGCCTTTCGCCATGATCGTAACCTCGAATCTTTGCAAGCTCGCATAGCAGACGCACTTCATCTTAATGATTCTGATTCTGACGTACGACGAAGACCTCGTACTAGAGGACGAAGAACAAGAGATCATGATTCTCAAAGCAACGAGTGATCGCCTTTCTCTTTTCATCTGATTCTCCTTTGTTTTTATCGCATTGAGGACATTGCTCCTTTTTGGTATAGGGGAGTCAGATCATTTCCTTGTTCATTTCTATTTCATTTGCTCTCTTTGTAGTATTTTTCCCTTTATTTCTTTTCTTGTATTGCAAAATTTGAATTCAATAAAATACTTATTTATGCAAATTTTAATCTCTTATGCAAAAATTTGTGCATACTCGAATTCCCCCTATTTCTTGAGCCATAACGAATAAAATAAAACAATTTTAACACGCATTTATAAACATTATTCAACTAGTATTAAGGTTGCCTATTATAAATAAGAATTCGAGCAACTTAGCAAAATTGCTATCGTCTTAACACTTCAAAACCCCCGATGTGTTGGATCGATTTAAGTACTTATTATACCAAAACCTTTAAAACTTAGTTTTAGATTAGCCCCGAGTAGTTTATTAAGCAGTCGGCACCGCCATAAACACAAACTACATGGAGAGCTGATGAATATAAGTGATTGATCAAATATTCTTAAGAAATTGCTTTTATCTGAAGATGCACTTATTAAGTTAGATGGTCCTTACCAGATCATTTAATCCAACAGTTGCAGAAACTATAAATTTAAATGCAAAATAATCCATTATAAATTGGTTCAGTGGTCCCTGGTGCTGAACTTGGTAGGGCGAATTACGGTTCGATCCCCCGCAATTTTTAATTGGAAAAAGGGAGTACCATATGATTAAATTACCAGAACTCCTAGCTGGCTTACTAAGATCAAATTCACTAACCAGTTACTCCACTATGTGCGTGTAAGGTAAAGGGCTTAATGTGATTGCACTAGAATGAAAACGGGTGAAATAAAACGTAGTATTAGGTTAAGCTATAATGACATGACTTAAATTGGTCTGCTTAAATGGGGTTGTCCAGTGTTCCTACGGTAACTTTGGTGTTTAAGTTCGACTTAAATTCTCTAACGAAAAATTCAACTTGCAACCTGGTACGAAGTGATGTATGTTCTTATATCTGTGTTTAACTGTGCGTCAGTGATTTTCATTTTTACTTTTGCTTGAGGACAAGCAACGGTTCAAGTATAGGGGAGTTTGATAACACAATTTTATATAGTATATTTGATTTAATTTTCATAAATAATGTTAGTATTTTTATTTAATTATTTCATTTTATTTCCATATTACGCCGGTATTTTTATTGTTTCAGGTATTTTATTTTAATTAGACAAATTGAGCAAAGTGAAGAAATTAAGAGAGTTATTGGACTAAATATGTAAGAAATGAAGAAAAGGGGTGTGCAAAGCAAAAATGATGGATCAAAAGGTTTATTATCTCCAAACTGGGCCCAAACGAAATCAGGCCCACGCAAGCAAGAGAGCCCTAAAGGCACGTGCAAGAGTGAGACGCACGTCTCAACTCCTCTCCTACAATTGAGGCGCCCGCCTCGGACCCTCCCCTTAGTGGGAGGCGTCCGTCTCAACTGCCACGTAGGCCCTAGGATGATACATGAGGCGCCCGTCTCAACGTGGTCAAGTGGATGAGTAAATCTCGGGACGACCACCTCCACTCAAAGCAGTTAGAACGAGAAATTTGGGGAAAAGTGGTACGAAAATATCTCAAAACGTGGTTACATTCTACCACTATAAAAGGACATCAGGAAATCAAAATCGGGAGCCGTTTTTTTAGCATTTTTTATTTTCCAGTTTCAGAATTTACCTTCCCGCATTATTATTTTCCATTGTAATTCAGTTTCCAGCAGTTGTTTTCCAGCCAGTTCCTTTTCAAATACTTAAATTTTATTTCTGTTGAAGAACCGTGATTTTGTACGAATTGATTCAAGCTTCAAGAATTATTTCCAGCATTTATTTAATTCAGGTTTCTTATTTACATCGCTTTAATTTATTTAATTAATTATTTGCATGAGAGATATTTATTTAGCCATGAATTTATTTACGAATGTTAATTCCTTTAATGTATTCATGTCTGCTTTTATGAGTATGTCTGGCTAAATTATTTAAATATCGGTATGTAACGAGTTAATTTGAATGGATCCGGAACAAACAGGCTTGATTATATTTTATAAAATAAACACTTTTTCTGATTTAGTTATCTAATTTATTTTGTTAAAAAAGGTTTAGAAACCAACAGAGCGAAAGTTTGAGGCTAATAAACTGACTAAGATTAGAAACCAATAGAGCGACAGTTTGAGGTTTAAAATCAGATAGTAGATACTAGGTATTGTTTTTAAAGACTGCGACAGCGTTTTAAAACCAATTAAACTTTATTTATTTTCAAAAAGTAATTTTAAAATCAATGGGATAGCGAAAGCATACATCAGAGTTTAAAATTATAATTTACTTCAATAGAGCGAAAGTTTGAGAATAGATTTTTGAATAAATACTTTTTGCTGAAAAAGATATTATTATCATTTTTAGAAAATAAGCCAGTGGAAAGCCGGATTCTTTAATGTTAACGAAGTACATACCGATATTCGCATTATTATTATTTCAATTAGAATTAAGTTTTATTACCCAAAAATTCCCCTAATTAATTATTCGATGGCTATAGCTTTACACAGTAGTTTAGGTTACGTTAGTTCGATTTATAGTCCCTTAGGTTCGATATCTTTTAAAACTACGCGATAGGGCTGTATACTTGCAGTCTCCCGATTAATTTAGACGATAAAGTCGCGATCATGTTCCCAAAGAAGATAGATGACCTCAATATCAAGGTAATTTTGTTTTGCATAATGAAAGGACGTGACGAAACAAAAAAGGTCACCCGAACAGTACTCGCATTAGGACTGAAATAAAAAGACGATGTAAGATCCATCAACAACCTTATATGTGTAAAGAATGTCTGCTTCGACCCAGCGTAACAGACTCTTCTAACTAGTTACAATTTGTTTATAGTTATTATTATTTAAAATTATATTTAATAATATTTTTTACTTAATAATTTGTGTTTTATTATTTATGTTTTAGTTTAAAATTTTTATTTTATTTTATATTATTTTAAAATAATTATAATTCATTTTTAACTATTTAAAATTAATTATTGAATTTATATAATAAAAAAGCTATTTAAAATTAATTTCAGAATTTAAAAAAAGAAAAAAATTAATAATTATGTTACGCCATTTGAAATAACGGAAGTCTCTGAAAACTGCATTTCTGGAAAAAGTTCACAGAAAGCACCCTAAAAAACAGAAAGAGAAAGAGACAAATTAATTAAGTCGTGTTTGTGGATCAGAATAATCAGATACACAAACGCAAACAACTCATCTTTAGGTGTGAAGAACAAGAGGAAGAAGTGGTTTGATGGAGAATTCTAACCAGGTTTTGTTAGAAGCTGAGACCACTCTTGTTGATGGTGCCGTTGACTACTGTGGAAAACCAGCTATTAGATCCAAATCTGGTTATTGGAGATCTGCTTGGTTCATCATAGGTACTCACTTTCTTAACAACACACTGATTCATGTTTTCACACGGACACTTTTGAGTTTGTAACTTTTATGTTTAGGTGTTGAAGTAACAGAAAGAGTGTCATATTATGGAATTCAAGGGAACTTGATATCATATCTAACAGGACCACTCAAACAAACCACTGCTATTGCTGCTAAGAATGTTAATGTTTGGTCTGGAACAGCTTCTCTTCTTCCTCTCTTAGGTGCTTTCGTTGCCGACTCTTTCCTCGGCCGCTACCGCACTATCATTATTGCTTCATTCATCTATATCTTGGTTAGTTCTATTCATTACTCTTTCTTTTTATTTTTTTATTTACTAGTACTAAGAAAAACTAGAAGAACTGAATGATCATTGATATTATATGAATTACAGGGACTGAGTTTGTTAACATTATCAGCAATGGTTCCTTCCCTCGCCAAATCGAAATGCCAAGTTGATAGTAAATTCATATTATGCTCCAAACATTCACAACTGATCTTATTTTTCATCTCACTCTATCTAGTTGCTATTGGACAAGGTGGACATAAACCTTGTGTTCAAGCTTTCGGCGCAGATCAATTTGACGAACAACATCCTAAGGAGCATAGAGCCAGAAGCTCATTCTTTAATTGGTGGTATTTTACTACGGTTGCAGGTGCCACGGTTGCAATTGCGATCTTGGCCTATGTACAAGATAACTATAGTTGGGTTCTTGGATTTGGAATCCCTACTATTGTAATGACCATTGGTTTGCTTGTTTTCTTGCTTGGAACAATGACCTATAGGTATAACATTAAGAAAAATGAGACTAGCCCTTTTCTTAGAATTGGTCGCGTATTCGTTGCAGCGATAAGAAATAGGCAAACTACCTTATCAAGCACGACGATTATTGAAGACGAATGTGATGGGATGCTTCACTGTCGAAGCTCTAAACAATTCAAGTAAGAATAACGATTTCGGTTCTAATTCATGCTCGTTTTCTCAATTCTAACTAAATCTCTAAAAGATTATAACTATTTTGACTTAACTTGTATTTTCTACATTGGTAGCTTCCTCAACAAGGCATTGCTAACACCAAAGGGATCTAAAGAAGGAAATACGTGTAGCCTTGTTGAGGTGGAAGAAGCAAAGGCAATACTAAGGTTGGTTCCAATTTGGGCTACATCTTTGGTTTATGGTATCATCTTTGCTCAAATTTTTACATTCTTCACCAAACAAGGGAATTCTATGGAAAGAACAATATTTCCCGGATTCAATATACCGCCCGCTTCACTTCAATCGATCAATGGTGTTGCCATTATTCTCTTCAGCCCTATCTACGACCGCATATTTGTGCCAACAGCACGAGCTATCACCGGAAAACCCTCGGGCATCACAATGCTTCAAAGGATCGGAACGGGAATTTTTATATCCATATTCACAATGGTAATTGCAGCCTTTGTTGAAATTAAAAGACTCAAAATAGCACAAGAGTATGGTCTTGTTGAAAATCCTAATGCAACTGTTCCAATGAGAATATGGTGGTTGGTTCCTCAATACTTTTTGTTTGGTGTTTCTGAGGTTTTTACTATGGTTGGTTTTCAAGAATTTTTCTATGATCAAGTTCCAAATGAACTAAGAAGCATGGGACTAGCACTATATTTGAGTATAGTTGGTGTTGGGAGTTTTCTAAGTGGCTTTCTCATTTCTATGATTGAAAATTTGAGTGGCAAAAATGGTCATGAAAGTTGGTTTTGTGACAATATCAACAAGGCACATTTTGATTACTTTTATTGGCTTCTTGCTGGATTAAGTGTGGGAGGGTTTACTTTGTTTGTTTACTTTGCAAAATCTTACACTTATAATCACAAAGGTACCATCACACATGCATAATCATTGTTTATTCTCTATCTTGATGCTCATTGTAGATGCCTCCAAAATCTACATGTTTCAAGTTTTCTATCTTGTGTTCATATTCACTTCTTTATTTGCTGAAGAAAATATTATAATTATCTTGTTAAGATACTGCAATTCTAAACAGGAGACTGAAGTGCTAAGCTAGTTTATGTAACATTTTAATTATCAGGATCACTTAATCAGATATGGTGTAGAATTAATCTTTTTTACTCGAGTAGTCCCTTAGATCATAGGAAATTAGTTTTTTTTTTTTAAATGACAGTATGTGCCAATGATTGAAAAGTCTATCGTTTTCCTTGGCGTGCCTTCATCATTTCAAAAGTATTAGTACTTCTACTATTCAACTTTTACTCATATCATGCATGGCTCACAAGCCTCTATAAATTATTTGCTTCTCATTTCAATAAGAATTTTGTTATATAATGTGTAAGTTCAGTGATCTTGCTATCTAAACTTGGTTCTTAACCAAACAAGCACTTGAAGATAATGAAGGGAAACATAACTAATCAAAGATAACAGATGAGCTTCAATAAGTAGAAAGGAAGAACCAAGGAAAAGAATTGACAAGTCCGGCCTCTAAATACACCAACTTGGTGTGTCACATTTCGAGCAAGGTTTCTTAAACTCGCCTCAAAAGCATTGGAAATCAAATACTTTGATTCAATAATATCTTCAAAGCTCAAGACTGAAATTCATTGGACTCTTTGTGTAAATAAAAAGCTCTCAGTGTGAGTTTAATGTCGGAATCCACTTGGCTCTTTGTGTCAATTAATCCAAGACTTCTACAGGAAGCAAACACATGAACCCACAAGACTCTCCTTGCAAATTAACCCAAGATTTCTACATAGAAAAAATGCAGAAATTCACAGGCTCTCCTTGTAAATTAATTCAAGACTTCCACATGAAGCAAATGTAGAAATCTATAATGCTCTCCTTGCATACTAACCCAAGACTTTCACAAAAAGTAAACGCAACTCTCCTTGCATACTAACCCAAGACTTTCACAAAAAATAAACGCAGGAACCCACGTGACTCTCCTTACAAATTAACCCAAGACTTCCACAAAGAGCAAATGGAGGATCTATTGGACTCTCCTATAAAATAAAAAGGCTCTTAGTGTGATCTCAAATTCGGAATTCTCGGGCTCTATGTGCCAACGCCAAGTTCTTAGAATGAGCATAAAACTGAAACCTTCAGGATCTCTGTACTTCTACACGAAAGATTTCAGAAGAGCACAAAACGTGAACTCGTTGGAATCTCCAACGCCCATCTAAAAACTTTTACGAAAACACTGAACGAGATTTGTATGGATCTCTAGCACAAAGCCAGAACCTTCGAGCTCTAGGCAGTTTCTAACTAATTCGAAAGTACCCACCATAAAATAGCAAAGGCAAGTCACTTCACCAACTTAGCCACCTTAATTAAGAAAGTTAGCTCGATCATCAGCTAAAAAGCTTCTTAGGCCCAATCAGATTGAAACTAGCAAATAAGAAAACCTCAACCGCAATTCGGAAAGGACAACCCATGAAAGAGCCAGTATATAAGTAGCTTACACCATGATCGAGAGATCTCTCCATAAGATAACAAGGATGAGAATCGTCATTAGATCAACTTAAATTGCAATATTAAGATCGACTCTGCCAAAATAAGTCTGACCTCGATGGAGGGAGAATAACCATTAGAAGATTATGCATACCACAATCCCTCACTTAAAATATATCGCTGAGACAAGCCACATTAAACGTTAAAACACTAGTCCCATGGAAGACTAAGAGATAATAGTCAAATATAAGTTGGGATGAAGGCGGTCAAGCATGAACAAGATGACACTTATTGAATAACTTTATAAGGACGATACAACCAGTATTTTTCCTTAAGTATCTCGCCCTACGAGCCTCGTGCTTGGGGGTTGTGTACATCACGGATAAAATTGATGTGTTAGGTTATTTAATAAGCTAAAAAGTAATAAGATCGGGCGAGATTAAGACTTTTCTTTATTAAGCATCTCACCCACACGGATACGAGCCTCATGTTTGAGGGGATGTGTACATCCTGGGGAATTATGATGGTCAGTTTTACATGGTGAATTTCTCCTTAAACATCTCATTGCACTACAACATTTTTTCTCTTTATCAACAGTTGGAAAGTGTAGCCTGAAATCGGAAAAATGTTACCTAAACAAATAGGGGACCTTTTCAAGTCGTCTTTTGAGCGAGTGTTGCCTATTATTTTAGGGGGCGTATGTTTTCACTTTTAGGCCACAATTTTCTAAAATATCGCCTAAAATACAGAAAAATGGACGTTTTTTCTTGCAATCTTAGGCAACACTTTTAAGGTGTTGTTAAAAATTGTAACGACGACAAAACATTTCCTAAAGTGGTAGAGTGAGAACATTCTAAGGGGATAATTTTCAAATGTTTTCATAGATAGACAACGTTTTTTCTTGCCAACTTATAAAGAGTTTTCACTTTCATTTTAATCTTCTTCAATCAAGTTCAAATTCACAACTTAGTCCATTTTTCATATTTGACACATGAACGATATAATCAAAGTCTCAAATCTTTTTTTCTTAATATCAACCTATACTTCGGGTCAAGTTTAAAAAGTTCTACATTTGGATCATGCTCTAATTGTAATTAGACATGGTCTTTAAGATCAATGGTCAAGCATGTTAATCTTTTTACTTGATCTATTATTGGAGTCTCATTCTTGTCTTAGGCGGGTGAACAACTACTTTTTAAGTTTGCACCATCCATATTAACTTTTTCATAAGAGTCTACTGGATTTGTATTTGGTGAGGCGATTAAACCCATCATTATTAATATTTGAATCATAAAAATAACAACAACATACAACACGTGATATTAAGACCACAAACAACACATAATTTTAAGCAGACATATAAAAACAAAAGTTATAAAACAAAACTTATACAAACCACAATTATACTATTTTCTTTACTCTCCTTTTCCCTTTCTAATATTTCTTCAAACTTCTAATCAAAGATATCTTTTATCTATGCACAATTCTTCACTCCTTGAAGATGATTTAAAGTATTGTCTCGGAACGATGCCCTTTCCAACACTACAGACACGCCCATCACTCTCCTTTTTCTAATGGCTTCTTCGAATATATCATGGTGTGTTTGTGGAATAAAGGCTCACTCACTATATTTTACAATCAAATAATCATACAACATAAATAAAAGTTTATTACCAAAGTGACATAACCTACAATTAATATTCTTGATAAAATAATCTACTTACAATATTCTCGACAACTATGCATGTAGCCTCTAATATGAACATAAGTGGTTGCAAATCCACCTGGTTATATTTTATTATGTCAATAATATTATGTAAAATTGGATCACATCATCACGACTTATCTCAATATTTCTATTTAAAGAAATTATAATATATGTATTAAATATCTCTTTTCTTTGTGATTGTGAATGGTAACGACGAGTCCCGGGTATGACCAAGGAAATCAAAGCCCACAAAGGCTCATAGGTGTTGTCATAAATGCCACATTTGTACGACTAAAGCAATAAAAAAAACCATAATGTAAATGCTTAAAGTAATTAAGCTGTGGTGAATATTATGACTTATGCATATTCCCCCCACTCCTCTGGGGACTATTGTTCCTTCTCTGTCCCCTTCTCCTACCCCGATTATAGATACTTTATCTTCTACTTCTGAGGTGGATCAACTTATGGATATTGCGACTAATTTAACTATGGTGGAGTCAACCACGCCTCTAGTTTTTTAAAAAAAGGACTCGGGGTGACGAACAAAAACTCCCCTAGGATGAGGACTCTCTAAAAAGGACTTGTGTTGTCGAGGGTGATGATTCCGCAGAGGTAACTCCCTTTATATGGGTGTTGGATGTCTTCTCTTTCTGACTCTTGCAAGCTTCTCTAGAATTTTCAATTTGGTTAGTTTTACTACAATTTTCTTTCTTAACCTTCTCAGATATGTATTTTTTCCCTTTCCATTCCTTTTGTAGTAGTTAAGGTTAGGAGTTATAGGAAAAGGCTCGAAGTAGGGATTATGTTAGAGTGAAGTTGTGGAATTTGAGGGCTATAGTAGTCCTTTTAATGATTGTAAAGGTGGTGGTGATTTCTGTTTGTTCTTTTGATTTGTCATAAACAAAGAGATAATGGTTGTCCCTTTTGTCGTGTCTAAAGAGGCTAGAGATATTGGATATTTTTATATTGCTGAAGAGCATGTCATATACTTTTGAACATTGATAACACAATTTTATATAGTATATTTGATTTAATTTTCATAGGTAATGTTAGTATTTTTATTTAATTATTTCATTTTATTTCCATATTACGCCGGTATTTTTATTGTTTCAGGTATTTTATTTTAATTAGACAAATTGAGCAAAGTGAAGAAATTGAGAGAGTTATTGGACTAAGTATGCAAGAAATGAAGAAAAAGGGTGTGCAAAGAAATAATGATGGATCAAAAGGGTCTATTATCTCCAAACGGGCCCAAACGAATTCAGACCCACGCAAGCAAGAAAACCCTAAAAGAGCATGCAAGAGTGAGACGCACGTCTCAACTCTTCTCCTACAATTGAGGCGCCCGCGTCGGACTTTCCCCTTAGTGGGAGGCGCCCGTCTCAACGTGGTCAATGGAGAACCAGGTCAATTGAGGCGCCCGTCTCAACGTGGGCAAGTTAAAACGAGAAATTAAAGGATAAGTGGGACAAAAAAAGATCTCAAGAGGTGGTTACGTTCGACGACTATAAAAGGACATCAGGAAATCAAAATTGGGAACTGTTTTTGCTTAGATTTTTTCCAGTTTTCAGAATTTATACTTTCATCGCATTTACTAGTTTCCATTGTAATTCAATTTCTAGTAGTTATTTTTCCAGCCAGCTTCTTTTCCTTTTCGAATACTTAGATTTTATTTCCGTTGAAGAACCGGGATTCTGTACGAATTGATTCAAGCTTCAAGGATTGT